TGGAGGGAAAGATTGATCTTCTATATTTAACCTTAAGAAAATATTATCATGATGTTAAGAATAATATCACTTCTCCTGAAGAGTCCCGAAGTAATATATGTGAGATTGCGGGGTACTGCATAATAGATTCGAAGAGATGTCATGATCTGTTGTTGAAAGAAAATGTGATCAATACATATATGAATGAATCAGGTATATCATATGTATCTCTATTTGATTCGTATTGTTATGCTGGAGGTGCGAAAGTATGTAATTTATTAGGTTATACATCAAAAGATTTGAATATCTTGATCATGATGATTAGGGACGAAGGTGTGGAGGATGGGAGTTATCCAGGTAGTTATGTTGTGGAACTGAAGAAGGGTTTGAATAATATGAGACCGGTCACTGGATTAGATTTAGCTTCACTATATCTGAGTCTTATGATGACTTACAATTTATCACCAGAGAAAATGATTCTTGATTCAGAAGACCATCAAAGATATGTATCTATGGGGTACGAGGTTAATGAGATTAGGTTTATGTTCAATGAGCTGATCAGTGAAACATGGTAATAATGAAGATGAGATGGGGTTGTATGTTATTTTTCAAAGATATCTTAAAGATAAATGTAACGAGCTGAAAGTCAAGTTAAAAGGATTAGAGAAGATATTGGAAAAAAAGAGATTGGGTAATGAATATGATAAAGAATATAATGATTTAAGTTTTCAACGTGATCAGGTGAATCTTCTTCAATTGGCATTCAAAAAATATATAAATAGTTTTTACGAGGAAACGGTTAATTCCTTATCACCGTTTTTCATGAGAGAATTGGCTGGAGGTGTTACATCTATGGGTCAATATAATATCAAGATGGTCGCAGAGTACGTCAGAGGATTAGGTTTTGAAGTTTAATATAGTGATACTGATTCCTTGTATTTAACTTGTCCAGATAGTTTTTATTTAGAATGTGATAATGATTATATGCTAAGAAAAAGGATCAAGGAAGAATATTGGATAGATATGGTTAAGATTATAATGGAAGTAATGTGTAATTTGCGAGAAAAGGTAAATGAATATTTATTCATGGATAATGGAACATGATTCTTGAATATGCCATATGAGAAGGTTCTTTTTCCGGTGATGTTTACTGGAAAGAAAAAGTATTTTGGAATTCCTCACATAGATATGGTCAACTTTCGTCCAAGAAATTTATTTGTTTGGGGAATTGATGTAAACAAAAAAGGACATGCAAAGTATTCACATTATATTTGTGAACGAGTGATGAATGAGGTAATGTCCATAGATAATAATCTTGATCCACTTGATATGGTCAAGTCTGTTATTGAGATGTGTATATGTGAAAGTCATGTTGATACTGATATATATGCAATGTCAGCCACATACAATTCATTAAAGAATAATATTTCAGTAAAAGAATTTGTCAATCGTATGAAGAGAAGATGTGTAGATATCGAAGATAGTGAGTGATTTGATTATTATATTATTTGACATCCTGACAAGAATGCCAAGGTTTATCAAAAAATGGTACTTGTGAAATATTTTGATTCAGATAAGATGAAAATCGATGAGATGTATTATTTGGGAACTGTTATCACTACATTGGGAAGAATGATTAATTACTACGATCAATTTCAGATAGTTGAAAAAGATTATGAGACACGTGATAAATTATCGCAAAAGAAGGCAGAGAAATATTTGCGAGATTATATCAAAATGATTAATGATAGGATGAATTATGATATCACGAGATTCATTTCTTTATCAATTAAAAATGTTAGAAAACGTAAAGTTGAGGTCAAGGAAAGTCGACAGACAAAGATTGTAAAGTATTTTGTACCAGAGTGTGATTACG